AATTTGGTTTGAAGCTGTTGGTTTATTGTCTTTTGTTATAGTTTCACCTGAGGCCAAACTGCCGGGTTCTTTTTCCGATTCTTTAAGTGATCTCGTTGAAAGTTGGCGAATTTTTGAACCTTGTTTCTTTTTATTACTAAGATTTGAAGCTGTTGGTTTGTCTTTTGTTATACTTGCAGCTGAGGCCAAACTGCCGGGAGGAGAAGTCCGAATTTGGACTTTGAGGCTTTTTTCTGAAATATTCCCAGGTGAGGAAGTTCGACTTTCACCTTCTTCTGCCAAACTGCCAAGTGGGGAAGTTTTAGTTTGGACTTTTGGTTTTTCTTCTGTTAAACTACCGGAATGGGAAATGCGAATTTTACTTCCCTGGTCTTCTTCTGTTGCACTTCTGGAAAGGAAAGTTCGAATTTTTCCTCTTTGGTCTTCTTCTGCCAAACTTCCGGGTGGAGAAATTCTCTCTTCTGTTAAACTTTCGGAAGTCCGAATTTGAGATTTCTCGGTTTCTTCTTCCAAACTCTCGGTTGGTGAAGACTTGATTTGGACTTCTTGATCACCTCCCGACAAAGTCCCAGATGGGGAAGTTTTGATTTGAAATTTGGGGACTTCTTCTTCGACTAGACTGACACTTGAGAAAGTATCATTCGCCACAGGTTCGTAGGTGTGGACACAAAACTCGTCTTTTCTTATCAGTTTGAAGATAGTGCGTTGTTTTCTCTCACTCGTCTCTGTTATTTCTTCTGTTATGGAGCTAGTGGAGGAAAAATCTTCGAAATCGTCTTCGTAAGGCACCTCTCTTGTATGTATACAAAATTCCTCTTGTTTTCTTTTCTTCAAATCTTCAGGCTTATATTCAATCGGTTTTTCAATCTCCCTCTCTGGTTCCTCCAAATCTTCACTCTTTTCTTCTAACTCTTCTTCTTCGTGATCCAGATCTTCAGGCTGTTCTTCTTCCTTCTCCAAGATTTTAGGCTCTTCTTCCGTTTCCAAAATTTCAGGTTCCTCTTCTTTTTCTAAAACTTCAGGCTCTTCTTCTTTCTCTAAAACTTTAGGTTCTTCTTCAGGCTCTTCTTCAGGCTCTTCTTCAGGCTCTTCTTCAAGCTCTTCTTCTTTTTCCAAAATTTCAGGCTCTTCTTCTTTTTCCAAAACTTCAGGCTCTTCTTCTTCAATTTTTTCTTCCGGTTCCTCTTCTTTTTCTAAAACTTCAGGCTCTTCTTCTTTCTCTAAAACTTCAGGTTCTTCTTCAGGCTCTTCTTCAGGCTCTTCCTCTTTTTCCAAAACTTCAGGCTTTTCTTCTTTTTCCAAAACTTCAGGCTCTTCTTCTTCAATTTTTTCTTCAGGTTCCTCTTCTTTTTCTAAAACTTCAGGCTCTTCTTCTTTCTCTA